AATATTAATATATTTAAAATGCTACAAATTTAAATTAAAAATTACTTTACCAATTTTTTTAGTTACTTGGTTCTTTTAATAAAAAATTCATCATATGATGGTAATAAGTTTTCATTATTACTACTTGTAATCATATCATCTAATCTAGTATCTAATTATGTAAAATATATAATTTAAACTATAAGTATTATTTAAAGTTAACTAAAAAATAAAGTACCATTATTTAAAATATGTCTAATTTCTTCATAATTTTCTTGATTGTTACTATCACTATTATTATCATCAGTATCTGTATTAATAACATTGATCTCATCTAATAAATAAATTTTATAAATATTATTATTAAAACAATAAATGTTTTAAATTTAGTTTTAACTTATAAAATAAAAGTACTATACCATTATTTAAAATATGACTAGTATTTTCATAATTTTCTCGAGTATTACTATAATCATCCTCAATATTCATATCCATATTGACTTTGTCTAATAAATAGAATTCTATATAAATTATTGTTTAAAATTAATAAAATTAAAATTTATTTTTACCACTTATATTAATTTTTTGTTTATCAAATTTGTGTTGAGAATTTATTAACTCTTTTTTTTTAAGTGTAGTAAAATTTTAGGTGGGTTTTTTTTCTTTTTAGCTAATAAACCAGTATATTTATAATAATATGCTATAAATTTAAATAATTAGCCAAAATATAATAATTACTAGAAATATAATAAATAAACCTATATTTACTATAATCTTGCATAACTTGTTTTATAATTTCTTCATATACCCATATATTGTCTTCAAAATATTCCTTATATTGAGAATGTAACTACAAAAAATATTATATATATTTAGTATAAATATAATATATATTAATACAAATAAATATTTACAATTGCAAGCCATTTTTTTATCATCACAGGATTAATTTTAGATATAGTATAATTTTTTGGTATATTATAATTATCAAAAAGTAAACCAAAAGTCTTTTTAACTTCACAAATAGTCTTGTTATTAAGTTTAAAAACTTTTGCAAGTGAAATTTTTGAAATAAAAAATCCTTCTATATTATCTTGTGTAGGCCGCAAAACCAAAGGTACAATATTACTATTAATCAATGAAGATTGCTCATTTAATTTTTTTTGTTCATTTAATTTTTCTTGTAATTCTATAATTTTGTTTTCTGCAATCTCATATCATTCTTAAGACTTTGTTAATAAGTCAAGAAGTGTTAATACATCAAGTTAAGTAAATGGATCAACTTGAGTAGTAGTGTTTGAAGAAGTAAAAAAAGTAGTCATAGTAGCAATAATCTAAAATTTAATTCAGGATAAGCAAATAAACAAATATTTTGGTTTTAAAAAAAAACTAAATTCTTTACGCATTTATTTATTAAATAGTATAATCACTAATTGGCTGCTGATCTTTAATTAGCTTATAAAAGATGTTATCTGTAAATCATAATTTTATTTGTCAAAATTGCAAATAATCAAATACTTTATATGTTTGGTTATAAATAGCATAATCAGAAATCTATCTAATTGGTTACAGATCTTTTAAGTAAATTTAATTGGCTAAAAAAAGTTGTTACCTTAAATTAAAATTTTATTGGCAAAAATTGCAAATAATCAAATATTTTAGATATAAGTATATATAATTAAAGATAAATATATATAAGTATATAATTAAATATATATATATAATATAATATATCATATAATAAAGCTAATAATAATAATATATATATATGATAATTTCAAAAAATATTAAATCTATTAGCACTTTAAATATTCTTGCTATTTGTGTTATTAAACAATATTACAATTAATTTAATAATAAATAAATTATATAATTTAACTAATATAAAAAATAGTAAAGTTTATAACTTATTTGATTGCTAGGAACCCAGAATAATTCGAGATATATTAATATCTAAAGATATTTAACAATCATAATTCAGCAACTGCTGAATCATGACTTAAGAATCTTAATGATCATAATTTAGCAATTGCAAAATTGTGATTGTCAAGATTCTTAACGATCATAATTTAGCAATTGCTAAATTATAATTGTTAAGATTCTTAACCATCATGATTCAGCAATTGCTAAATTATAATCATTAAGAATCTTAACAATCATAATTCTATAATTGCTAAATTATGATTATTAAGAAACTTAATAATTATAATTCAGCAATTACTGAATTATGATGATCATTAAGAATCTTAACGACCATAATTCAGCAATTAAATTGTGATCGTTAAGAATCTTTTAGTAATTGCTGAATTATGACCTTTAGAATTTTAATGATTATAATTTAGCAATTGCCAAATTATGCTTTTTAAGAATCTTAACAATCATAATTTTGCAATTGCAGAATTATGATCATTAAGATTCTTAATGAACATAATTCTGCAATTGCTAAATCATACTATTAAGAATCTTAACAATTATAATTCTGCAATTGCTAAATTATGATCGTTAAGATTCTTAATAGTTATAATTTAGCAATTGCTAAATTATGATCAAGAATCTTAACAATCTTAATTTAGTAATACTGAATTATAATCATTAAGAATCTTAATGATCATAATTCAGCAATTGCTGAATTAATTATGGTTGTTAAGATTCTTGATGTTCATAATTCAGCAATTGCTAAATTGTGATCGTTAAGATTCTTAACAATCATAATTCTGTAATTGCTGAATTATGATCGTTAAGATTCTTAATAATCATAATTCAGCAATTGCTAAATTATGATCGTTAAGATTCTTAACTATCATGATTTAGCAATTGCAGAATTATAATTGTTAAGATTCTTAACGATTATAATTTGGCAATTACAGAATTATAATTGTTAAGATTCTTAACCATCATAATTTATCAATTACTAAATTATGGTCATTAAGTATCTTAATGATTATAATTTAACAATTGCAGAATTATGATCAAGATTCTTAACAATTCATTGCTAATTAATCTTTAGTCTTTAATAATTCTATTTTAATGACTATAAAGGTATGAAGAATCTCAAATATTTAATTTTAAAATTTATGTGTACTTGTAGAGTTTTGCAAAAATGTTAACCTATAATTATATTTAAATAATTCATAGTATTCTATAATTTTTCTAT